AGCGTGATGATTCACGGGGGCGGCCATAGTGACGCCTTGAGTTGCGCGAAGTCAGCTTGAGTGATGTCCCCATTCAACAGGAGAGTTCCTAGGGTTGCTATCTGTGCTGCTACGCTGTTTGCTGCGGGTGCTGCGGCTGCATTTGCTGCGGTTTCATTTGCTGCGGTTGCATGTGCTGCAGCTGATAGCATCAGTGCAGCTGGAGCTGGTGCTGGTGCTGCCAGTGCAAAAAGAGCCTGAAGAGCCTGAGGTGTTTGTGGAGGTGCAAACATGGTCGGATTCTGGCCTTGCGATTGATTCTGGCCTTGCGATTGAGCTGGAGGAGGTCCGCGAGTAGTATCCATGTAATGCTGGGCATGTGCTGCAGCTGCTAGCATCAGTGCAGCTGGAGCTGGTGCGTGCAAAAGAGCCTGCGGTGTTTGTGGAGGTGCAAACATGGTCGGATTCTGGCCTTGCGATTGACTCTGGCCTTGCGATTGAGCTGGAGGAGGTCCGCGAGTAGTATCCAAGTAATGCTGGTGCTGTAATTTCGCTCTTTCTGCGTTTAGAGCGGCCGCTTCTTTGTTCATTGCTGTTGCTTGCGATATCCCCCATTCGAGTGATTCTTTAGCTTGCTTAGCGCCTTCCTCGAACGATTGTTTGTTGAAACTGTTCGCCTGTGGTTCTCGAGGCTGTTGAAAAGAAAGTACTGCTTGATCATGATTTGTTTGTTGGAGTTGTTGTTGGAGTTCTTGGATCTGCCTTGTTCGCTGTTGGTATTCTTTTTGCCGCTCGAGCTTCTCGTGGTCCTCCTCCTTCGGCTTCTTCTCCTTGGGCTCCTTTGCACTGGCAGCTCTAGCTCTTCGCTTGCGCTGCTGCTTTGGTTGTGCCGGCAAACTCTTCGCTTGTGCTGCTTTTCCACCTCCTGTCTCCCAAACTCCTCTAACTTCCTCCTGTGGCTCTTTATATTCTTGTCGGCACATCCTCGGCCGGGGTCGACGTTCTAATAACATGAGGTCGTTCACCTCTTCCGCTTGCTTGAGTTTGCTCTTGTGTTCACCTGGTGGTAAGAATAAGAATAAGAAGAAAGAAGAAGAAGAATACCTGGTAATTTGCATTCCATTTCGTTAGAGTATGTAGATATGAAAGAGNGCGTATCCTGCTTCTCCCAACGCATCTCGTTTTGCTTTAATTTGTTTCGC